GGGATGGGGTGAGATGGCCCACTGGTACCTAGAGCGGCAGTCGCGGCTCACGGGTGGCGCACACAGCTGGCACACCGCTCCAGCACGTTCTCGCGGAAGCGCGTGGGGTCGCTCCACATGTCGGCCGCCTGCACGTTCAGCGGGCTGTTGTTGTTCGGCTCTGGAAACGACAGGTCGGAGACGGCCTGTGAGTGGGCCGGGTGGCGCACGCGGCGCTCTGGTCAGGCGGCACTCGCTGGTCTGCCAGCCGGCGCGGCGCGCGGGCAGTCAGGTTTACTGGCGCGCTTACTACGGCGAATCCCAGTCACCGCATAAAATGACATCATCGTAACTGTAACCAGAAGCGGATCCCAACGCGCTGGCGTCGAAGCGCCACCCGGTACCGCTGTAACCTTGCCAGACGTCGGCACACTGACTTGCGACCACGCCGTGACTGTTGAACAACACCCCGTCGCGCTGACGTCAGCGAGAGCGCGCCCGCTCGCCGCTCACCTCCGAGCAGACTCTGTATGGAGAGCAGCAGCGCGCGCACGTCGTAGGAGGCCGACCACTTCTCCTTGAGGATGTCGAGGCAGATGTTGCCCTGCGTGTCGACGTTCGGGTGGAAGCAGGGCGACGTGAAGCGAACCACCGGCGCCGAGAACGGGTAGTTGTTGGAGAAGTCGAGCCGCAGCTTGAACTCCAGGCCCTCATACACCTGGCGGGTGCGAGACGACGGCGAGCACCGTCAGACGCCGCTCGGTGTCGGCGAAGCAAACACAACGGAAGCAGGGGTAAATGAAAATATTCGGCGGAATCGACATTGAGAGCTGATAAGGTTATGACTCACGGAGGTGACGAAACGGTACGGGCTTCCGTGCCTCGTAAGGAAGTCGGCATGTCAGCCAGCTTCAAACCGAAGAATGGAACGGGAGCCCTAATGACAAGATCTGTCGGGATATGACGCAAGATGTACATTTCATTTTATAGGTGGGACGACACCACGCATCTGTATTAAAAAATATGGATACACCAAGTTCAGGTTCAAGTATATAATACCGAAAGAGGCACGTCAGGACGGCCATTTACCGTGCTGGCGGCTCCAGAGATGGTGGCGACCCAGCTGAAGAGGTTATCACCATCTGGGAATGCTGAGATGCCCTTGTCACCAGACGTCTGCAAAATAAGGGCACACATTTAGTGAAAAACAAAGCTCAGTTACACTGCCAGTATTGCAAGGATTACATTTGCAGCTTGCCTCTTCCAACATGCCTTTGCCATTATTTCCGTTGGAACTGGATCCTTTTCTGCTTGTTACAGCTATCCTTTCAATCATGAATAGTTACTTAATTGCAATTGATATCATCAGCCATCACATAAAAGAGTTAACAAGATATTCTTAGAAAGAAGAAATGGAAGGTGGGTGCTGGCCAAAAGCACCTTTTGTGATAAGTGCATTCCAATGTATGAATGGCTTCTGGGTTCTGTGCATTTACCAAGCATAACTTGTTGCACATACCCTGAACTCATCATACAATTTCTGCTGTCCAGTTCAACAGATGAGTTTAACTCACCCTTTTGCCCAGCAGAAATGGGTAAGGTTTTACGCGCCGCACAACTCTACGGTTCACCCCCGCGGCTGGGTTGATCATTGTTGGCCAGCTGCCTGCTGACATTTCCATTTTAGCTGGGCCAAGCAATGCACCTGCTCTGGAGCTCACGCTGGCACAGCTTGATAACAAGTCAATCATCTTTCCCCTAGACCATGGAGAGGACTGCACTCATGTACTGCTCCAACATATGTTCAGACATGTTCTATGCCCTGTGCCAAAATTGGGTCCCAAGTAGATGCAGAAGGTGGGTATGTGACTTACCATTAAAGTCATTAATTCTGTCTGCAGCCTGAAAAAACAAAGCAAGATTAATTTGTAGAATGCCTTCCAAAAAACCAAAACATATTGCATTATGACTAATGAGTCCAGAATCAGGGTATCAAGCACTGGCAAAACATGTCTTGCAGTTCACCAACTCACATAGTTGTGTATACAAATGCAAACAAATGAAATGATGCCCCCATGTAATGGAAAGAAATGATAAAACTACATGAAGTAGAAAACTGATGTCCATGCACACATGCTTGAGTTTATGTGGAGAGTGTGCAGCCCTGTTGTGTACTGCATTGTGTTCTGCTGCTTCCAGGGCTTTAGCACACTGGAGCATCAGATACAAATGGGCAAAATAAAGAAACGAAAAACCCTAAAATAGACAGAAAATAATGGCCATCTCAAATCTAAGAGGCACTTGATTAACCTAAACTTAACTATATATTTTTACATACAGTACACTACAATATGGCAAATGAAAGCATTGAATAAGTCAAAATAAGACTAGAAAGTAGTATGACCATAAAACTGTTATGTTAGAATAGGTGTGCAAGCCACATCACTGCTATAAGACCAACAATCTTATGAGGTCTGTTTGCTTGCTTTAAACTTAACCATGGAAACCAAACATGAGTACAATGATAAGTACAAATATGATGCTATTGTGTAATGTTGCATAACACAGTTTAACTGCAGCCTAATCATGCACAAACAAAACAAATATACCTTTTTTATTTTTGACAACTCTTGGCAGATAGCTTACCTTTTACTGACACTGTGATGGTCACTTCTGGTTGTTGGGTAGCTCATTTTGATCTGTAACATTGGTAAATTCAGATGTACATCTGTTATCACCCCTCATAAAACTCCGCTCATGATTGCCTTACTCAATACATAGTTGTGATAGGTTGTACAATAATAACTGTCAAACTATCAATGAGAAACATCACCTTTTATCCAGATGGCTATGCAACTGACCAACTCCATCTGATTGTCTAGTCTGTCACTAAAACATGGTTAAGTTTAAGATGCACCAGAAAAACTGCTAAGACATGAATAAGGAATCTGCACATTTGTAGGGATACCTACATGTTTAATCAACAAGTAATAAAATAACCAGAGTCATGAAGATCTGGCCCACTGATAGAGGACTCTGGAACTGAAAATCCTGAAATATGCTGGTAACGTTTCCAGGGGCATTGCAGAGCAAGCCACTCAGCAGGCCAAGTTGCAATGTCAAATTGCAGCACCATTTAGTTTCACCATTCTCCCCACCTACAGGCATCTATCAATTGCTATATACACCCATATAATGTTCATCAATGACCAGGTAGCAAAGGAGCTGTTAGCAGGCAGGGCAGTACCATAACAGCAATTTGACTCGAGTTTTAGTAGTTTATCTCGCTCTAGCTACAGCAGAAGTTTTTCAGGCAAATCTGGCTAAGTACAAATCTAGCCCTGCGAGTTCCTTCCCACGGTCAGAAACTGCACATCCCAATGTGCATTAATTCATGTTAATCACTTGCCCTGATGGATTCCAATGTCTAACCTGGCGGTGGTGCTAACCTTTCCTTCTCACAACGCGTGCAACAGTTTCGGGCGACCCCTCCCGACACAAAATCCGCACCGCGTACCCTGCGACCTTCTGCGGACGTTTCCATTCAGTTTGAAGCCTTTTTAAAAACCGCGCGATAGACGTGCCGTTGTGCGCCACATAGGCAGACGCAGCAAACGACCGCAAACGGCGCTCTTATTTATTCCGGTAGATATAAAAATTTCATCGCAGGTAGAAAGTGCTGCAGTCACCGAGGCCCCGCTCCATATCATCCCACATAAAACTCCACTCATAGTCGTCGTCGTCAGCACGATTGTCAGCTGGAATGCGTGACGTCACGCGTGCTGACAGAGCGTTCTATGTGTGAGCTGATGGGAGGGTTTGTAAACTACTTTCTCATCTTCCTTTACCTCTAACTTCACGCAACACGCTAATTCTGGCGTGCCGGCGACATACCTCGTACCAAGTGGTGTTCGGAAGTGTAGCTTCTACTCCGGTATTACCGTCATATATCCAATCTGTATATTGAGTGCTTCTTCTCATGCTCAATACATTTCAATTTCTTCCCTCTCATTTCAAGTATTTACTTATAACGTTATTAATTTGCTTGACAACGTAACCACACACCACACCAACACTGTCACTCACCTTTTCATGGCTACTCTTGGCATTTTAATTCCCTCCTTATCCATCCCATGCCGAATCTCCCCAAAAATTATAGGCAAGTGCCCCTATCCCACCTGACGCACTCGTCAACGCAAGAGCCACGAAATCAAATTCCCGCTTGAGTTGAGTGATTTTTTAATCTGGTAGCGCTCTCTCTTCATGCTGACGGGCTGACAAAAAAATCCTGGCCTCATCGTCAGCCGGCGCGTGACGTCATATACCATGTGACCCTGTAAACCACATGAAGTGACGTAGGCGAATACTGGACCGTGATTGGTGCTAACGACCAATTAGTGTCCTCGAAAAAATATCGACCTATCAAAGTAACGTTTCGTGGTCAGGTTCAGGCTCAAATAACGGGATGCTCCATACCATCCAAAAGTTAACGGCCCATTTCAAACTCTTAGGCAGTAGGATATCAACCAGCGCATGAACTAGGTCCGTCAAAAATCCTGATCAGCAAATTATTTTAATTGATTAAAAAGTGAATTGACACGAACCTGAAATCAGCTAGAAGTGACCGGACAATTTGGAATTCTTAAGCACACGAATCATCTTCAGCGTATGAACTAGCGTCTATTAAGAAATCATGATGTCTGAAAGTCGTCCTTCAGTGTCGTCGTCGCCGTCAGTGGGGATTTGCGACGCTGCCAGTTGCTGAGGATATATGCGTCGGTTGCTTCTCACCCTGGCAGGAAGGGTGGACACCTGGGAATCGAATCCCATGCCTCTAGTTTTCCAGACGTGCAGTTTACGCGTTAACCACTCTTGCCCTTTAAGGTCAAATTCAGCCTCAAAGGATGGAGAAGTTCATATCACCCATGCGTGTGGCGATTAAAAATCCGTACTTTTCGACGTACTCTAATTAACGCGCTCATGAATGCTTTGATGCTAAAAATCTCAAATCGGCCGTCATCTTTGAAGTGATGCTAAGTTCCCCGTCCTTTAAGCCGTAACTTTATCTAGGGGGTGGCCTCCATAGGTCAGACCTTTTCTACAATCACTTCATAGACACTGGTTTATGCGTTGAAGACGAGCTGATGTTTAATGCTTCCAATTCGGTCACTAATTTTTGGATAATGTGGATTTCCCTGTTCTTTGAACCGAAACTGGCAGAAAAGGAAGACCTTGGTAGGCCAGGATTTTTTAGCGACCGTTGCTTGATGCGTAGTGAATATTCTTATGCTTGAAAACCGAACCTGGCCGGTAAATTTTTGATGCAATCGGGTCTGACGTCATTGCATCTCAAGACGTCGTAGCTTTGGAAGACTTGGACTTCCTTGACAGGCGGAAGTTCCTACGCTGGAGCATATTATGACGTTTAGAATCATCAAATCGGCCAAAAATTTGGGGTGATATTGAGTTACCACTTCCTTGAACCTGGATTTGACCTTGAAAAGCGACGTTGAGTGAAAAGGGCTTTCAAATGGACGGTAGATCATACGCTGGTGAATATTCTGGTACCTAGAAATCCCAAATCTGCAGATGATTTTTGACTGATATGAAGTTTCCGGTGACTTGACCTTGAAGGACACATGTCATTGCAAAATAAGCCTCACATTGAATGCGCTCGCGCGATAATTGATCTGAGGCGTCTTCGGCGAGATCAGGACTCGTCGCCAATTAAAGCGATCAATGAATTGCTAGCTTCATGCGATGATTTGTCCGCTCACTGAATAATGATGGCCTTTTTTACGAAGTTCTTTTGCCGCTGTCCTGCATTTTTGTGTGAGCACCTTGCTGATGTCATTTCCAGGCACTTTTCGCACGGTCTCCCTATAAGCTGTTCTTTAAATCCTCGTCCTCGGCAACCTTGTCCTTTTTCCAGGTTCAAGATGTCCTGGTAAACATTTTATTTGTACTTTCTTTTAAGCTTATCGTATGTCGACAAAATATGGCAATTGAGTCCAAGATTGAGCGCCTCTTTTTGTTCTTCAGTAAGATCATTGTGAAATATATTCACGATCTGACGCGTCTCCGGCGAGATCAGAACGCGTCGCCAAATAAAGCGGTGGGTGAATTGCTAGTCTCATAGACTTCTTAAATGTGACTCTGAAGGACAAAATCACCTTAAAAATCCCACATTAAAGAATCCCAGTGTTGTCCGCAATGACCAGCAGTGAGCCAACGTTTTGTGACCTAAAATATTGGATTTCTCAATAGCTTTGATAAAACTAGACACAGTACAACGTTCTGACCAGCGGCGTGATGCGTGCCCGGGCGGCCGGCTGAATACCCTTTCGCTCAGGTGGGGAGGGGTCAATTTGCCCCCCTCTCCCTGGGATCTCGAAAACCAATATATCTAAGGCACCAAACTCACAGGGTAGGTCGACCTGTGCGTGAACTCACTTGCGTCAAAATAAATGATAGGAATTTGGTGTCCCTATGGCATCACCTTAAGTTCAAACAGTTAACCAAGGTCAAATTCCAAATTGGGATCTTACACCCCCAGAGATTCTCATGCAGCCGCCGCGAAGCTGGATGCTCATTTCAAGCACGAGGTCAACGAGGTCAGTTTTTGACTTTAATAAGGTCAAAGCAACCAAATGCCTACGATATTGCTCCCATGTTGCCATTCTAATAAGCGTCAGTGATAACGCTAGACGCCATGTTCCTAAAAACAGAATGTTGACCAGAGTCATTTTACGTCAGTGACCTGCTCTGATCCTTAATAAGGCCATGAGACATGCCATTTGCGATCCCTGTCATAGAAAAACGAAGTGAGCACAACAAACTACCCAAAAAATCACGCTTTCGACTAAAAAAGCAGCTTATCTTTGACCTTGTTCTGACCTTTCTACCTGTACTGAGGCCAATGGAATTGGTTGTGATTCTAAATTCAGTAGGTTTATTGCCTGAGAAACTATGTCAGACACGTATGACTTCGTTTAACGCTCCATTTTTGCATCACATTAAACGATTCTCCCAAAATGTCCTCCATTGGCAGCCATTTCCTGACCTTGACCTGCCGTAGGTCAGCGACCTTACGAGGTACATCTAATTCCTTACATCAACAGATTTGCTACTTAATTCTTTACAGATATGCAAGGTTTGGCGTGGCTACGCCGCGTCGTTCGGAAGTTATGGTGGAAAACCCGTCTGCGGGAGGGGTCAATTTGACCTCCCCAGCCCTACCCGAGCGCGTGTCAGCCTATAAACATTTTAAGGCTGCATGCTGCAAGTCATCGTCCTATTCTTCTTCTCTCAACACGTACTGCAGAATGCAAGACAACTCGAGGGTTCGGATCTCTTATTTTCATCCACAGATGTGAGGGCCGCTGGATATCTCGATCAATCACAAAGCAGGAATGCACGTGGAATGTATGAGGTTAAACGTGTCTTCGTGTGCATTGTCATGCCATGCCACTGGAAAAGATGATGAACATCAAGACAGTGATACAAAAAAGAGGCACAATCCTGAAAACAAAATAAGAGACAAAACGAAAGTTTTCTGGAAAAATGATGGATTGGCTTCGGGGACACAAAACAAATGCTCCCAAGCGGCTGGGAAGGCCACGGCACCACTTCCAAGCACGATATGAGAGATTGTCGTATCTACTCGTTCTTCGGGTCGACGATGTACGCGGTGAAGAGCGGCTGGCCCAGCGTCGTGTCGACCAGCGAGCAGATGAACGGCGAGTCGAACACGATTTTGAAGGGACGCGGCGCGGCGCTGAGCGGCACGAGGACGCTGCCGGCGGCGCCGGCCGCCGATGTGCCCTCCTCGTCGGTCTGGATGACGGCCTTGTGCACCAGCTGGTCCACCTTGAGCACGTCTTGGGGGCCGAGGCCGCCCTGGAACATCTCGCGCATGCCCATCAGCTGCACCAGGTCGATGTACGAGTACTTCTTGGAGACGATGTCGAACTTAGGAATGCGCACCTGTGTGAAGGTTGCGGGCGCGGCAGCCAGGTCCAGGAAGTGCTGTTGGTACAATTTGTTGCGGATATCGCCGGCGCCTGAGGTAGTGAAGCAGTATAGCTGAATGGACGGGTCGCGGTAGGTCATCGCCACGCCCACCACGCCGTCGCGTGAACCGTCCAGCACCTGCATTGCCTCCTCCCGCACCAGCATGGGCACGGTGATGGTGGTGCCGTCCGGCTTCATGAATGGGCCGTCGAGCGCCGAGAGTCGCGACGGCCACCGATCGCTGTACACGAGCGTCGAGGCGAACACCAGCTGCGTGTCGGGCGCCAGCTGCGTGAACAGCTGCTTGATGCGGCCGTCCGTGGCGCGCTCCACCTGCTCGTTGATGGTGCTAGCCGTCCTCGGATCCTTGAAGTTGACAGAGACGGCACGCCGGCGCACGAGATCAGCCATGGCATCGCAGCGGCTGCTGCGTCGGCGCAGGCAGTCATCCAGCACGCCGCGCTGGTAGTAGCCCTTCAGCGTGCCCGACAACGTGGAGTGGCTCTCGGCCGCGTCCAGCAGCGCCTCGCTCAGCTGTTGCGGCTGCGGCGAGCCGAGCGCGTCCTTGATCTCGCGGCGCA